AGTTAAATAATATTTGAATCATAAAAAATACTTGTCAGTCCAATTAAATTAAAAATATTTTTCGATTCTATTGAACACTCACCCTACCATTAATTAAAATGATTTTTTTTTCAATTTTCAATTTTTAAATCAAAAGAAAATATTACTATTATAATATTTTTTGTGAACTATTTTTATTTATAGTATGTTAAAATCATTATTATTTTAATAAATATACTTTCCCTATATTGAAAAAGTTAATTGCATCACATATCTTCAAAATATGACTTTCGTTTTAAATTAGTCACTAAACTTTTAAATGATCCAAATTCATCCTTAAACTATAACTATCATCAAAATCAGTCCTTAAACTTTTGAACATTTCAAGTTCATCCCCAAAATATGACCTTCATTCTAAAATGGCCCCCAAATTTTTGAACATTCTAATTTCATCTTAAATTATACACATATACTAATCACACCCCTTGTTAATAAAATCGTTTGGCCAAGTTATATTAATATATGACTTTAAAAAAACAAAATTTAGGTTAAAATATGGTTGAAACTAATACATATTTGAATGAATTTGGGGATGAAATTGGAATATTCAAAAGTTTGGGGACTAATTTAGAAAGAGGTCATAGTTTAGGGATGAATTTAGAATGTTCAAAAGTTTAAGGACTAATTTAGAATGAGTGTCATAGTTTGGGGATGAAATTATAATATTTAAAAGTTTAAGGACTAATTTAAAATAAAGGTTATAGTTTGGGTACATATAATACAATTAACTCAAATTGAAAAGATTCAGATAATATTTTCCCATAAATAAAGAATTATATAAATAAAAATCTAAGGCAGCCATGGTCGTATAAATTCATAGGGTCATATTAAGAAATAAATTAGCGTAAACCGGAAACGTATTAACGGTCCATAAAAGGAAATGGTGGGTCCACACAAAATCTTATTTTGGGGTACTGGTTCAATCCCATGCATTATGGATTGCATTTATCACACGTGGTAGTTTACAATTGGACCAAAAAAGATAATTCAAGATTTAATGGACTCCCCTACCATATCTTTTTTCATTTTCAAAACGAATTATGGATTTCATATTTCTAATAAGCCTTTATTTATGAACCTCCATTAATGAAAAACACAACAATTTTAAGGTCAGCAAATCATCTCCTCTTACCTTAAAACTCCAACCTCTTTGTTAAGGTCTTCATCTTTTTCAGAAAGGGTACTTGATTTCCCACGTTTTACACCTTTTATTTTAGTTTTATGATTGCTAGTGTGGTGTTCTCTCTTTTCTCTTTATCGTATTATTAATATAATAAAATTCCAAAAGAAGGATATTTGGCATGCTTTGCGAGATATATATATATATCATTTATCATGAAACATTTGGATTTTTTTAGATGTTTTATTAAGTGAGATTCATGTGAAGTTTAAGCATATGTTGATACTGTAAAGAGTTATGCTTTTTTACAATGAATCATCATGAAAGTTCACCAAGTGTTTGATGTTATAACCAAATAAAAGCCTTTTCAGAATTGTGAAGAGCATAAGATGGAAGCTCTTGAACTTGGTGAAGCTTTTTCAGTAGTTTAGAGGTTTAAAACTACTATAAAGAAAATGGTAATTTGGATTTGTTTTGAAGAAACGAAAAAAGTTTGGGGTTGCTCCAAATGTCGAAATGATTGGAGTTTTTATTCTATATATGATTAAATCATGATGCTTTCATTAGTTCAATGCAAGCTTCATAATTTCTCGAATTCTTGGACTTTGGCAATTTTACATTGATTAGTCATGTTATTTTGATTCGAGCACAGAATATTAGTATGCATTTGATATTTAAAAAATCATACTTTTATAACAATATTGATTATTTGTTGGAACGTTTTTGAGATTATATTGCTGCAGGAAAATGGCAAAAAAAAAAAACATTACATTCATAAGTTTTTTGAATTATTCAAGCATTCATCACAAGTAAACTTATTTCTTTCCACTGATGATAGTTTGCAGGTTAGCATGGCAGTGATTCCATTGCGTTTCAAAATGCCATATAAAGATCAAAATCATGACTGTAAATGCAAGCGTTTGCAATGGCATCCATTGCCTATTACTTTAGGTATCTTAACAAAAGCTGAGGTTAGGAACAAAAATGGAGGTTTTAATGGACTTCAATGGCGACTTTGGACATTGAATGGTGTTCATCCGAGACCCTTATCCATGAAAGCATTGCCAAAAGAAAGTTCACAGCTGAGGTCTTTGGATTCTTATTTTCAAAAACTACAAGAATATTCAAATAAGGGTTCTTCAATGGAGTTGGTTGCTAGAACTGGAGAAAGTAGCATAAAGAAGGGGCTGCTGGAATCTCTGGAGGCTTATCTTGGCAAACTCGATGAAGGTAATTTAATATACCAAAAAGCACTGTTCTTTCTGGCACAATTTGATCCTATGCATGGACACAATCATGTCATAGAAAAACATATGTTGGATATACTAGAATTCGTAAAATAAAAACTGTCATGAATGGTCAGAACTCATAACATGATCAAGAGAGGGTTGGATACATCCAGCTTTTACTGTGTTCTGTTGGTTTTTTCCAGTTCAACCACTTTTTTTCCCTTTCGAAAACGTAGGAATTTAATGATATATATTGGACCATACGAGCCATCGATTTTGTCTATGACTGAATTTCATTTATTGTTTATTCAGATTCAATACCTAAAAGCTATGGTGAAACTCCTGAAGACAAACAAACTGTACTTCCATTTTCTGTCGGCGAAAATGTTAGGATAGATGAAAATGCAAAGTTCAGAAGTGATATCGGCTTCAGGATAAGAGATGTTAACAGAGTCTCAAAGAAGTCTGAAGCTTTGAACTGCTCTGATGAAGCCTCTCATCTCTACTTAATGTAAATCACTACCCCTCAACTTTTGTGTTTACTGCATTTACATCTGCCAATTTTTAACACGACACGAAAACATGACATCGAGTGACACGTTCTAATTGTGTATTATGAGTTTTACATGATCATGTTTTGTGTAATAATCACATCAACACGATTATGACATAACAAATTTTGTTTCATAAATGTGTAAAACACACATAACTTGCTTAAGACAGAATTAAGACACGTTTGTTTAGCATGACAAATCCCCTTGGTTTTTGCTTGATTACTTGTCTCGATATATATTTGTTAATTTGTCAGTTCTGATTGCAGATCATGTTCATGCTCTGATATAATCCTTTTATTCTAAATGCAGAGGTATATTGGCTTCCATAAACATTGCAGTTTTTATATTCGAAATCGCCACTCCAGTTAGAATCCCCGAGTTGGAGCTTTTTTCGATCCCTTCATTATATGGAGCCAAAATAAACGATCTTATTCTGGTTGGAGAATGGTGGAGGCTTGTGACACCAATGTTTCTGGTACAAGACTAAAACAATTGGGTCTGTGTTCATGTTCTTTTTCCGTTTTGTTTCTTTTTCATGATTTAGTACTATTTGAAAGAATTTCGGACAAAGCCGTTAATACTTGAATTTTGTCTAGTATTTATATGGTTGCGCTTCATAGTGCTTGCTTGAAGTTCAGCTCAGCAATGCTATGTTACTTAGACTCGAGTATAAGTGTCAGATATGTGTATGTGTTAGTTAAGGTTTTCCATCAATGTGGTGATCCTTGCCACAACACTTAATTTCATGTCCGATTTGATCTTCCTCTTCGTTGTTCTCATGACATTTCATTTTAATTGATTTGCAATGTCTCTTTTGTTTCTTTTTTCTCTCCCTGTTTTATCTACCATAACAACATTTAAATTACTTGATGGTTGATTTGGTGATGCAGCATTCAGGAATTCTTCATGTATCTCTTGGTTGTTGGGGGCTTCTCTCTTTTGGGCCCCAAGTCTGCAGACATTATGGATCGTTTACATTTTTCTTAATATATTTGCTCGGAGGGTTTGCCGGAAACTTGATAAGCTTTTTTCATACACCGGAACCAACAGTTGGCGGCACGGTGAGTCACACGAAATAAGAAAAAAAAAATATAAACACAAGTGTCAACTCTAACATTCCTTTCTCAAACTAATTGCAGGGACCAGTTTTTGCTGTCATTGGTGCATGGCTGATTTATCAGATACAAAATAGAAATGTAATGTCAAAAGATAATTCGGATAGAATGTTCCAAAAGGCAATACTTGTGACAGCTCTTAGCTGCATATTAAGCAATTTTGGCCCAATCGATGACTGGTTAGATATGCTCTACTTACATTGTTTAAACATGATCATTATTTAAATCTAGCTCATGCTTGAACAGGTCTATCTAATCCATTCATGATGGTAAATTATAAATGCAGGACACATTTGGGAGCAGCGTTTAGTGGTATAGCGTATGGTTTTTTCATATGCCCTACGCTACAGTTGGATGAAATATCTTCAAGAACTGCTCAAGAAGAACAGATCAGACTGGTGGGGAGATTTGGCGATCCATGCAAATCACTCATTTTGTTTGCTGTTTTCGTTCTTGTTTTCAGCTCTCTGATTTTCTTTATTGAGCCTCCGATTGACACGACATATTTTGTAGTTTAGTTTAGTAGTCTTAAAGAGATGACATGCAACATGTCCGAAGTTTGAGTTTCGATACCGCACAATCCTTCTTCTATCGCCACACTATTCTCTCTTGTACAAAATATATATGTATTGTGGTGCCATCTCCCTTTGAGAGGGAGAATAGAAATCTTGTATAAATCAGAATAATGTTGTGTTGTTTCAACTTCCTTTATTTCTTCAAGTAATTGTATTTCAACAACTAGTTGATATAGGATGAGACATTAAATTTCTTAAACAATGTTAGAGATTCGATTTAAGTGATAAAACCTAATTAAATATTCAAAACCTAATTATTTTAAAAAAGAATAAAAATTCATAATGTCCACACTCATTTTTCGTAATGTCTTTTAATATTTTATTATTATTATTAATAATTATTATTATTAATTTACATGCAGGCCAAATACAAAAATAAATTTCAGAACCTATTACAAAACTCAACATCAACCCAATTACATGACCCAACTTGAAGCCTAAGTACCACACCTTGCAGCACCATCACGTGAACACCCAAATCTTCAGAAAACGTCGCATACGCCCAAATATTCACCTGCTCCAATCAAAGTCTCACAAAAAAAAAAAAAAATTATCATGCAACGACAAATGAATTTGGTGAAAGATAAAAAATAAAGGGGAACACGAAAAAACAGGGGGGAAACAAATTGTAAAAAGGGGGCTTCACCTTCGAAACAGAAAAAATGTAAACAGAGGAGCTTCCTCTGATTCTTGTCGATAAGAACAAGTAATGCAAAAGGGGTTTCCTTTATTTCTTTCAAAGTTTACATAGTAAATCTGTATTTTCTTTGTGTGCATGTTTATTTCATTTCGAAAATAAATAGAAAGTAGAGAGGGATTATAGACTTACCTTAGTTTGTAAACAACAGTAGAGTCTCGGTGGCTCGTCTAAGTCGTTTGGATGCAATTGATAGAGTTAAAGGACTTCGTTTGGGTGCAATTGATAGAGTTAAGGAATGGGATTAGTCTTAATAAACCAAATAAGTTTGAGTTTTTTTTTTAAATAAAAAACGAGAAATAGAAAGGAAGAAGTGAAAGTTCGTTTACCTGGGTGTTTGGTAATCAGTCGGGCTTCAATTCCGAAAGGCTAAAGGTCGCTTTGGACCCCCTTTGGTGTCGATTTGTTGTTTTCGGTAAGAGAGAGTAGTGAATGTTTACCTCAACAGTTCGGGTCCTTCGTCGCATGCAATTACCACGGCGGTGTCGGAAGATTCGCTATCATACAGGGGGTTCTAGTAGGGTCTTATCGAAACAAAATAGGAAGATGAGTGTTTGATTACCTGAGCGTTGAGTCTCGTCGGGGTTGGTCCTAGTCGAGTCCTGTGGTGATCAGAGAAAAGAGGAACACTGGTTAGTGACGATGGCTAGGCGGTTGTCGGGGTGAAGGTGGCCACCAAGGGAATTGTGAGTGACGTGTGGCTCTGGAGAATTCCAACGGGAACCATGAGCAAGGAGCTGCTCGAGAGGATACAAAGGGGAGAGGAGAAACGGCTGTGTGCGTGTGTGTTTAGATGTAGGTTAGTCTAGGTTTATTTTAAATTGGGTTTTATATTGCAAATTTCGGGTAAATTATCTTTTAGCCACCGAATTCTTAGGGTAAAACTGTCATTAAGTCTTTATATTTTTAGTGCTTATTTGCATTTTAGTCCCAAGTACTAGTGTATTTAATTTTTGTTGTTTTTAGACATTGCACTTTTAACTTTTTTATCTTTCATTTTAGGCCATAGATCGAAGTTTGCATGATTATAATTATGTATATTTATTTTTACTTGAATTTAATTTTAGTCTCTAAATTTAATTGTTTCGAATTTCTATTTGTTTATACATTTGGTCTTCTATTTTGAATTTTTCCATTTTAATCCTATATATATATTTCAGGTTTATTCTGGTTCCCGTACTTGAAGTTTGATTAAATTGTATTTTAATCAATCAGTGTATTAGAATATATATTAGGTTTTTTATACATACATTTTATATATAGTAGGTATATATGTTTCATATAATATGAGATCTACTTTTAATAATATACCCTTTAATTTTATCTCCAATTTCATTTTAATTTTTTTATTTGACTCACTTTTCATACCTTTTAAATTTATAATTTTTTCCATGTATTTGCATCAATTCCGTAATTGTATATTAATTTATTATTAAATATGTTTCTTTCCTAATTAAGTGCATTTGTGTTATTGTAACATGTATGGTAAATATATTTATATTGTGATGTGTGGCTATTAACGTATATTTAAGTAAATAACTTTTGAATGCATGTTGACCTCATAATGTTCCCCATTTCATTTCTTTCCATGGTAAAATAATATGTATTTGTTAATAATGGATTTATTATATGTTTCATTAAAATAATTAGATATACGTTTATTTTAATTTTTATTAGACATATTTAATTACTATTAGTTTTTTAACATGTTTATAAATTACCTATATAGTTGCATTTACTTGTACATATGAATTTAGCTACATGCCATTTTTAATTAATCTGCATGATATCTCATGAGTATTACTTGACTCAAATCAAAATAAATTGACTAAGGATAATATTTGATCATTTTAAAATTATCAAAAGAAACTTTCTAATACGTGAATATTTAATCTATTTTAATATATACATAAAGTATTAATACTAGAACTTACATTTTAGATTTGAGCCCTTGGTTTATTAATTTTCATAATTTGACACTTTAAGTTAGAAAAATCCTTAATTTACTTTTAGTTTAATTAGGACAAATAAATTTTGTTTGATTGTATTGTTTTACGAATCTAAGACATGTTTACTTATTAAGGAATTAATAGTATATCTTCGCGATCGTGCTCAGGGGGTCACTACTAGTAATTCATTGAATAAGTCGACATCTTTTCAAAACCACGTCATGTTTTCTAAAAACGAGGCAATATTTGGTTATTAGGCACAATAGTTGATCTCCCGCATTTACGCTCGGGCGAATGCTATCGGTCTCGATAAACGAATACCCTTTTCAACTTTGCATCCTTAATAATTTTTAAATTAAATAAATATCGAACTCCAAATTTCTGATTTTAAATATAGGGTAAACTGGTACCAATTTTTGGGCGCTTGTGAAGTGCTAATCCTTCCCCACGCGTAACCGACTCCCGAACCTGATTTCTGATTTTCGCAGACTTCCAAACTCGGTATTTTGATAAAAAAATGTTTTATTAAAATCATCTGATTTTTATGGTGTTCCAATCGCACCTCAAATGATTGGTGGCGACTCCTCATATTTCGAAATAATTTTCAAAGAGAAAAAACCCGTCGGTATCAGTCTTTTTCCTCCGGGCGAAAAACGGTTACAACATAATTGAATTCTTGTAATGTATTTTGAGGAATTCATGGGATTTTTTTTGAATTAATCATTAGTATCTGATCTAGTCATTGTTGGGAGAAAACGAGTGTTCCGAACGAGTTTTATGAAAGTGGTAAACTGATAATAATTAGTTGTTTAGTAAGATGAGACATTATATCTCTCAAGCAATATTAGAGATTTGATTTTGACATTGTGAATAGGGCAAATCAAAATAGGAGGTTCGCTCCTATAATGGATCTATGTAGTATATTTTTACACAATGTATATTGAGAATAATTTTATATTGAAAATAGTAAATAATTTTATTATCTTAGCTTAATAAAAAAATCAGATAAATGAATTTAATTTAAATGGATCACAATGTATGAGACAATAGCTATATGGTATGTTTCATTAAATTGTATGTGTAAGAGTTCGTCTTAGTACTTTAGTGGGTGACTATTCGACTTAAATAATTGGGATGCAATTGATTGACGAAAAAATTAAAACTAATTATATATTATTTTAGCCCATGCCATATAAATTCAAATGGTCCATTCATTAGCTCAAATGATCGTTAACATATATAAACTAAAAAAAGTTATGAATGAGAAATAACTTAAAAAATTAATTATTTAAGTAATAACATTTTTTTCATGCCATGGAAGAAACAATAATTTGAAAATCAATCTGACAAAATTTAAATAACTATTTATTTAATTACGTTTAAAGTGAAATATTAAATTAATAAATTACCATTTAAATTAATGAGATTGGAAAATTAAAATTTTATATAAATTATAAGACATAAACTAAAATTATGGGAAAAATAAAATTTTAGAAAATTTACGGTAAAACTGTGCTTATTAAATTTCTATAAATAATAATATGCTTTTGTATAAAAAAATTTAAGTTCAATCGGTTAAAAAAATAAAATCCAAGATTTAAAATTGTCAATAAAATGGTAGCTAAGATTTTGGCTTAATATAAAAATAGTATTTAAATTATATCATTTTTTCATGATTTTCAGAGCCGGACCGGTCAGCGAACCGGTCGTGCTACCGGTTCACTGGTTCAACCGGTCGAACCGATCAGATCGGTCGGAAGAACCGGACGACGTCATAATTAATTAATTATTTAAAAAATTAAATAAAAATATAAAAAAACATTTAATAAAAAACAAATTTTTATATTACAAGTCATATTCAAAGCAAGTTATAACATATATAAGTTAAAAACCATAAAATCAAGTGAAACAAAATGATTCAAATCAACTACAACATAATATTTAAGGTAAAACATATTAAATAATAAATATAATTATATAACTATAATCAAAAAATAAATTTGGGGCTAAAAAAATCATAACAAACAATGTCGTTTGGTTTAATTTTTTTTTTTAAAAATCTCACATGACTAAGAAACATAAAAGAGCATCACAAAAGTCTAAATAGTAAAAATATGAAAACAAAACAACTCCACATGGCTAAGAAACATAGAAGGGCATCACAACTGACTTCTATAAATAATAAAGTAATTTGATATTCAAAATCATGGAGCCTTTTGGTGAGCACAGAGCGAACTATTCTTTTGCTTCAATCGAGCTCGAATTTCAGGCTTCAATCGAGCTTCTAAATTTTTTTGAGTTCGAGCCTTTTTGAGTTTAAGTTTCAATAATATATTTCGAGTTCGAGTTGAACTTGATAATTTTTAGCTCGTGATTTTTGAGTCGAGTTAAGCTTACTTTTAAAGTTTTTGAGTTCGAGTCGAGTTCAGCAATACTCGAGTTCGACTCGGCTTGTTTAACAAATGACGTCGTTTGATTTAATTTTTTTTAGAAAAAAAACAGAACCGATTTTCAACCGGTTCACGGTCCAGTCCGGTTCGAACGGTTCATAGCCGGTTCAGCGGTTCCTTCCGGTTCACTAGTAGCGGTTTAACCAGTGTATAATGAACTGGACCAGACAACGGTTCTCGGTTGAACTGGCCGATCCGATCTAGTTTTCAAAAGACTGCATTTTTCAAACATTTTTTAGTTAATTTATATGTCAAATATTATAAATATTATCATTTTAATTACTTCAGCCATGAAAGCCGTTAATTTTTAATTTTTTAGTTTCTTTAAAAAAAGTTAAAATTATAATTATTTACAAAAACATTTTTTTAGAGAAATAAACAAAACCCTTATGTTCGTGCTTCCCCTGCCCATGCCCCCACCACAAATTGTAAACCCCTGTTCAGTGTGAACGCAACATGGGCGGCGTCGGACCCCACATATGAACACCGACAAGCGATTTCAAAATTTGAGTTTTGGTATTTAGAGATTTAGGGTTTTTGATTTAGGAATTTGAATATTAAGAATTAGCAATTTTGGCAGTAGTGTTGGGGCAACCACATCCAACCGTGATAGTGAGTCGTTTTTGGACTTTAGTCGTTTGGGAAAATGGCAGGTTGGGGGAGGGAGGGGAGGATGGCGTGAGAGATTTTTTTAATAATATTTTTATTTTTTAAAAATAAAAATTCAAAATTCTATAAAATGGGACATGTGTCATTTAATGGTAAACTATAACAACGGTGATGGTCAGACACTTAAAATGGTAGCGTTTGTAACGTTAGATACTTAAATTGATCGAAAAGTGATTTAGATACCTAATAAGAAAATTTGTATAGTTTGTGCACTTAGTTTTGTATTAATCTGATATGCTCTATAATTCATGATGATAAAAATAGACACTTCTTTGGATTAATGTTTATACTCGAACCTATTAGAAAAATAAAGTCTCAAAGATTTAAAGCATATCTATTCGGTAAATATAACCTGAGTGAATCCTTTAAAGGTTATGACTATTCTTCCTTTGATGTTTTAATTCGAGGTCCAATCTTTTTTAAGAGAGGGAGGATAATACATGCACCACATGCCTTACAAAAAAGGAAGATGGTCTAACTCTTTCAATTGATCCACACGTTCAAGTTTTAGAAAAGAAGATATGTCGACCAAATATCACCTGGATTTTATTCAAAAAGTTATCGCAAGTCTGTTGCTGTTCTGGTCTTCTTTTCCAAGGCTTAGACGCATATATCAACTGGAAGAGTCAATTCATCTTCCTTTGTTGTGAGGTGTGTGTGACGACTCTGTAAAATGACTATATTTTAAGTCTTTTTACTTAAGTTATTGATTGTCTAAAA